AGCAAGGTACGTTTACTTGTTTTATTTTATTTTTACACATTTAAAAAAAAAATGACCTGGGATTGAACCCGGCCGGGTATAAAACCCCACCCGGTCGGGTTACCTCTAAAAACAAAACACCCGGCCAACCACCCGGGCGAGGGAAGAGCGGAACATGAATAAATCAAACACCCGACCGGGTAGACCCCCATACCCGGTCGGGCAACCCAGCAAACACTTTCTGCCTCGGGTGAACACTTTACACCCGACCGGGTAGACCCCCATACCCGGCCGGGCAATCCAACAAAAAGCCTCTGGCTTCGGTGAACAGCTTACGCCCGATCGGGTAAAATACCTCACCCGACCGGGCGAACGGGTGAACAGACCTATACCAGGTCGGGCTCACCTCTTCCCCATTTTCTTTTTTCCCATTCAAACCACACCCCAAATTTCCCCCATTTCCAAAAGTAAAAAGCTTCATATCTCCTACATCCATCCGCCGATTAAACCCATTTCTTTCATCACCTCTTCACCCTTTTCATCTCCACACCCACGAATCACCAACAAAACCTCCCAAAAACTAACCAAAAAGAAAAAAAATTATCTCAGACACAAGCACTAGGGACAGTGCTTTGATTAGCTTGGGGGAGAGTTTTATGGAATACTCATATTCATATCTTTATTCTTGAAAAAAAAATAAAAGCTTGTTAAGTTGAAAACCCGAAAGGGCAACTTAAGCAAAAAATAAAGCAAAAATAAGAGTGAGTTGTGAGGATTAAAACAGAAAAATGTGGGAAGCTGGGATGAAAACCCAAAAGGGCACCTAGGCAAAATGAGAGAACGAGAGAAAGTATTTTCTTTTATTTTTGCAGGATCCTAAGGGTAACGAAAAAAAAGGGCTGAGGTTGATAAAGAAATATGGAGTTGAAGACCCTCTTTACTGTTATATTTTTGGGGATATACTTTCTGTGTTTCTAAATACACTCGTGGATGTGTGTGTTGATATTCTTGTCATTTTAAGGACTTCTTGGACCGGATTTGATTTACTCGAGACGAGTAAAGGTTTAAGTGTGGGGGTGTTTGATGCACACTAATTAGTAGTGCATAATTACATGTTTTTATGTTTGATTTATGTTGATTGTTTGGTGTTTTATTTAGTTTGTAAATATTTATGTGATTTCAGTTGTAATTGTATTTTAGTCTTTATTTATAAGTTGTAAAGTTTAGTTAGGATTTGTGGTGTTGGAAAGGAAGACTTTGAAGAGAAGAAAACAAGAAATTTGACTCCCCAGGAGTAAAACCCGGCCGGGTAGAAACCCCCACCCGGTCGGGTATGATTTAACAGACGAAATTGCCAAGAAAGTCACTGGACCCGGTCGGGTCCCCTACTTGACCCGGTCGGGTCAGATGTGACCCGGGACAAAACGACGTGCGAAGATCACCAGAACGTGGCGGATTATCTGATTTTGACCGGACCCGGTCGGGTAAGTACTTGACCTGGTCGGGTACCCGACCAAAGGTGTTGAAAAACACTTATAAATTGCACACTTTTTCTTCACAAAAAATCATCCCTTCTTCCATACTCTTAACCTCACTACTACATTTTTAGACCTAATGTAACATTAGAGATGTAACATTTCTATAATAGTGTTACCTATTTCTCTAATGTAACACTTTTTAGACCTAATGTAACACTTTCTAGAAGTATAAGTGTTACATTAGGTACTATAAAGTGTTAGAATAGGTCAAATGCAACACCAGCAAATGTAATGGTAAAACAATGTTACATTTTCTCTGAAAAGTGTTACATTAGAGAAAATGTAACATTTTTTTACCATTACATTTGCTGGTGTTGCATTTGACCTACTATAACACTTTATAGTACCTAATGTAACACTTATACTTCTAGAAAGTGTTACATTAGGTCTAAAAAGTGTTACATTAGAGAAATAGGTAACACTATTATAGATATGTTACATCATTAATGTTACATTAGGTCTAAAAATGTAGTAGTGCCTCATTTTAGAATAGCATTTCTTTATATTTTTCTAGCTATGTTTAGTCTCCAAATGAGGAGCTAAACTTCCATTCTTGGTGTTGCTCTTGAAGCTTGTTGATTATTAAAGTTGTGAGTTATTTTCTTAACTTCTTTCCTTGAATATTAATTAATAGTTCTTTCCTTAATACCATCTCTATATTAATGTTGAGGAGTGTTGCTAAGATGACAATTAGTTAACATCTTGACATTAGTTAGAATGGTATTTTCTTCCTCTATATTAATGTTGGGGAGTGTTGCTAAGATGATAATTAGTTAAGATCTTGATATTAATTATAGTAGGATTCATCTTCTTTAATAATATTCTTCCTTGAATATTAATTAATTCCTATATTAAATAATACTAATAAATTTCATTATATTTGAATATAATCTGCAAATATTCAATCTTTTTTTATTATAATAGAAATTTCAAAGTAGTTTAAGCAATACTATATTAAATAATACTAATAAATAAAAACACAAAGTATATGTTTTTTTAATTTAGTAAAATGATTTATAATTTGATACCTCTTTTAATTTGAAATGAATGTGAGGTACTGGTTTATTATAAAAATTATTTTGCATTTGTAAGACATTTTTTAACCCTTTGTATATTCAAAAAAGGTTAAGATTTGGACTTCAAAAATCCCAATTTTGATAATGTATATGTAATTAGCTGTTAACTTGTTAATAGTTTCCCAAAAATGATCCAGTACAATTGAAAGTTAACACAATTAAGTAGCGGTTCATTTTGTGAAATAGTAACAAGTAGGAATTGTTATTCAGAACTTTTCAAAACAAATTATTTGTGTAAAATGTGTAGGGATTAAAGGTGTCAATTTCTCTTTTCCTAAAATTGGACATAAGTATTTGTGATTTTTTCTCGAATAAAGTGACAATCAACTTCAATGTATTTAGTCCTCTCATGATACACGGGATTTGAAGCAATGTGCATTGCAGCTTGATTATCACACATTAGCTTAACAGGTTTCATGCTTCCGTATTTTAATTCTTGGAGGAGATGCTTCAACCATAATATCTCACATGAACCAAGGGCCATTGCACGGTATTCTGCTTCAGCACTAGACCTGGCAACCACATCATGTTTCTTACTTTTCCAAGAAATTAAATTCCCACCAATCAAAATGCAATATCCAGAAGTAGAACGTCTATCCATTGGATATCCAACCCAATCTGCATCATAATACCCAACAATGTCATGGTGCCCTCGATCTTCAAAGAGTAATCCTTGTCCTGGAGTTTTCTTGATGTATCTCAAGACTCGGATAGCTGCATCCCAATGTCCATCACATGGCTTATCAAGAAATTGACTAAGCACACTGACAGCAAATGAAATATCTGGTCTTGTGATGGTAAGATAGTTCAACTTCCCAAAAAGCCTTCTATATCTCTCTTTATTGGGCAGGAGATCACCTTGTTTTGACACGAGTTTGACGTTTGGATCCATTGATGTATCCACTGGCCTACAATCCAACATACCTGCTTCCTCAAGAATATCCAATTCCAACACTGTGAGAGCACAATTCCATTTCTTGATTGGGCAACCTCAATACCAAGAAAGTACTTTAGTTTTCTCAAGTCTTTTGTTTGAAATTTGCTAAAAAGATATTCCTTGAGTTGGGCAATTCCTTGGTCATTTAATGACAATGTCATCAACATATACAACAAGAAAGATACATTTATTGGCTGCAGAATATCTATAGAATATGGAATGATCTACATCACCTCGAGTCATGCCAAAACCACGAACACCAACAACAAATCTCCCAAACCATGCACGCGGGGATTGTTTCAGACCATATAAAGAACGACATAATCTGCAAACCAAACCAGACTCCCCTTGAGCAACAAATAATCTTTCATTATATTCTACGCTTTCATGGCTTTTCAAGTTGGCAAAAGTATGAAATAATGAACTGAATTCACTAGACTAGAAGTAAAAAAAGAAGAGCAGTGGCTCTAAAATGCAAATAATCGTTTGCATTTCACATACCCATTAGTATCTTTTTTTATTGGCTACCATATACTTCCTCCTCCTTTCTTTTTTAATTGCAACGGTCCACTTTTCACGGTTAGCAACACATTAGTTTGACTATTAGTATCTTTCATTCCTTATTAGTAAATAAATTAAAAAATTAAGATTTTAAAATTTTAAAATGAGAGGAATTTAATAGTATTCTTTTAAAAAATTAAGATTTTAAAATTTTAAAATGAGAGGAATTTAATAGTATTCTTTTAAAAAATTAATTTATAATACATTAATATCAAAATAGAGTCAAAGTAGTACACGTGATGACGTGACGTGAATAGTGAAAAAGTCTGCATTTAAAAGAGAACAGATGTAGTATATAGTTTCTACACAAAATACTCCGTATTAGTCTAAGCCAGATTGCCAGTAATATGTTCTCCAAATTAAAAAAAAACACAATTATTAACAAAATTCACATTAAGTGGGTACGTCTATACAACTATTAACAGTTTCGATCCGTACTAAAGTAATATGGAGTTATATTTTTTTTATTCACTACTTTCTTTATATATACAATTTGTAGACGTAAAATATATATTGGTCCATGCGAGTAATATGATCTCCTAAAACAGATGATTATTAGCACAAAATATACTACCAAATGTAAGTACTCATATACGTAGCAGTAGGTAATATGTTAAGTACATACGAACTATTTGCCATTATCGATCAAGTAATGATTAATATGGGATCAAGTAATGATTAATATGGGATCAATTAACTTAAGACAAGGACTATATATTTGCAGGTCGGATCGCCATTACCAATTTTAAAAAGATTGAAACAACAATTGTAGACATTAACTATCAATTCTATTTGTTAACATAACAAATAATTAAAGAACAATACTAAAAGAATGTCAATATTAATTACTCGATCCAATGAATTCAATACAATCTCCGTAGTAATTAATTAAGATTCCACAAAATTAATAAAGGCTAAAGCACTGCACTTCTGTTTTTTCACTCATCAAAGTGTTAATTTGTCACATAGGAGGGAGCTGTACGAGGGACAACCATAATCTGCCGTCAACTCGGACGGACCAGATTTGGACTTTGCTCCCTACCGTCAAACGGAGACTTTTCTGAAGTTGGTTCCAGGTGCGGGCGAGGATGAATGACACGCTGGCTTTCCCGCTCTTCTTCCGCATCTCCCATCTCCGCAGGCTCACTTCACTCTTTACGATTTTACCACCGATGGCCGCGATCAGTGCCACGTCATCGAGTGAGCCCACCTTCTTGTTCTGGCGCGTGGCCAGCCGCATCTCCTCCTCCGCCGTCAGGAACGCCGTCAGTCTCATGCTTTTCACCGGGAGGGTCAGCCGGCCTTGGTTGCGCCTCAAGTCGCTTTCCGTTATCTCCTTTTCTATCAGCAGATTCTCCTCCGCTATTTCCGCGCCGGGCCCAGCCAATTGTCGGATCCCGTCCCTGAATCTCCCCGGCATGGGCCCAGCCTCACCAGCCGCCGGCTGCGGGTGAACCCGCTTCTTGATTTTCCTGGCCGTTCTTTTATTCTTGTTGCCGACTGACAACCTTTTGAAGGCGGAGACGACACATTTCAAGGCGGAATCACTGATCCTACGACGGCTGCTCCTCTTGTTCCTCGGGATCACTGAATTAGGCGATGAAGAAGAAGAAACATTGTGAAGGCGGTTTTGTTCCATCTCCGAATCAGCGACGCAGACGGCGGCGAGGAGGTCCAAATTGGAATAGCCGCCCCGCAGCGGAACGTAGCCTCCACCTGGAAGCCGCGAGAATATCAACTTCACCGCCATGATCGATACTCTCAATTGATCAAAGCTACTATACTACACTTTATGTATTCTGATTTTTTTGATTTGTGACAGCGCTGAGGGTAAATGATCGACCTGAAGCAATACTACTTATATATATATAGTGATCGGAAATGATCATCTGCTAGACTTCTATTGTATTCCGACTTGTTCGAGAATTTTTTAGTTTCCTAAAACCCAAGGAATTAGTTACAAACTCGTAATTAGACTAGGATTCGGAATCTCCCAAGTTCCAACTGATCGATTTCTTGTAGAAGGAGTATCCTTGCTTAGCTTTCTGCTCAAGTATGATTATTCATTAGTCGGTTGTTTAGTCCGAAATTACAAAAAAAAAAAACATTTACAACGCCACTAATGGTTCGAGTGTGGGAATGATCATCTCATAGGCTTCAAATCTATTCGACTTATTCGCTACTTAGCTTTCCTAAATCTTTTTGTTTCCAAATCCCAACTGATTTTCTGCCGATGGGCTACTTGCAGATCGGGTCGGTTTTCTTCGGTTAGGGATGCGCAATTCATTTTACGGTTCAGTTTTATTCGATTTCGATTCGGTTTCGGTTTATTCGGTTTGAGAGAATTTGTACGAAACTAAAATCATTTGAATTTCGGTTTGGTTTCGGTTCAGTTTCGGTTCGAAATTAAGTTTACCAAAGTGAAAAAATTATGAAGTACAACTTAGTTCGATTTGATTTGGATTCTTATGTTTATTATTTTATTTGATCAATCAAGTTCTGTATTTTAGGATTAGAAGATGAAAATAGTAGTCCATCTCATTTTCTTTTTTATTTATTATTTAAATAAAATGTAAAAAGAAATAAAAGCTAGAAAAGCAATTATAAAATATTACTCCCTCCGTCCCATTTTGTAAGATACTTTACGGTTTACGATGTTTGACCGACGATAAAATAAATTGATCCTTGTAAACACTCAAATTAGTTTTAGAAAATAAAATTTACATATCCAGAAACTACATAAAAACCGCTACAAAACCTGCAAAAAATAATTCAAATTTCATAAACTTTTGATATATAAAGTAAACGATTAAGAGTGATTTAAGTTGATCAAGTGAATAGTAAATGTATCTTACAATTTGGGACTGAGGGAGTATAAATTAAAAAATCTAACAACTTTTCGATCATTAGAAAAAAGATTTACTTTTAACAAAAAATAAATTTATAGTTGATTATGTCACGCCCCGGACCGCATCCGAGCCACGTAGACAACCGCCGTACAACCCGATAAGAACAACAACAGTTCATCCCTATTGAGTTGTACAAGGCGTCCGATTGATTCTATTGCCAAACCGATTAGTAAACACATACAATCAACATCAATATCATAATAAAACAATTGCGGAAATAATAAAATGTTTGATACTTAGCCACACGTGGCAAACACGAGCACGCAGGCCCCCAACTGTTTTAATGAAACTATTGTTCAAAAATCCATGAGCGGTTTATACATTTGAAATAAGAATGGAAGCACGAACCACGTCTTCCTTCTCGATCAGTCACCCTAGGCAAAGGTGCAGGTAGTAGGACTCTAGCCTCAACCTGAAAAATGTGAGGGCCCCCGGAGGGGTCAGTACTCCATAGAAGTACTAGTGACAAGCAGGCTATATGAAGAATAACTAATGTTTCAGACACGAGACCCAAAAATAGGGTGATATGTACATATAGATGTCCCTCATCCACCCAATGATACATATTGTATATATATACTCGTAAAATACTCAACCCGTAGGTCATTTACCTTAAAGAGTCTTTTAGAGATAAAGTTCTTACCTGACTTTTCTCACTCCTTTCCCGGTTACCTAGCTCACTAGCTATAGTCTACCTTCGATTCATACTACCGAGTGTTTTAGGATCATTTACCGTCCAAGGCACTCAACCCATCCTGGAGTATTTAAGATCATTTACCGTCCAAGGGTACTCGGCCCCACCTGGAGTATTCTGGATCATTTACCGTCCAAGGGTACTCGACCCCACCTGGAGTATTCTGGATCATTTACCGTCCAAGGGTACTCGACCCCACCTGGAGTATTCTGGATCATTTACCGTCCAAGGGTACTCGACCCCACCTGGAGTATTCTGGATCATTTACCGTCCAAGGGTACTCGACCCCACCTGGAGTATTCTGGATCATTTACCGTCCAAGGGCACTCAATCCCCCGTCTATTCTCTACCAAATCCTAACCTGGATATGGCTAACCTTTCATTCCTTTAACTATGGACAATGCCTAGCCCTATAGTCATATAACAATCCTTAGGATCCAACGTGGGCGGGTCCCACCCGAACGGCCCACGTTAACCTACTCAAAACTGTCCATTCTGAGCTTAACCCAAGACCCGGTCGGGTATCCCACCTTACCCGGTCGGGTTGGGTGAGGCAGTAGCCCCTGGAGCCAACTTTACTTGAGACCCGGTCGGGTCTACACCCATACCCGGTCGGGTCTAGTGTGGCAGTGACTTCTGGAGCCATTTTTAATCAAAACCCGGTCGGGTATTCACCCATACCCGGTCGGGTATCACCTTTGTCTTGGCGGTCAACGCTCGTTTGACCGCCCAAACGAAGTCCGATTAACGTGAAATTTTATACACTCATACTTCTTGATGTCCTTGATCCAAAAATACCATTTTGGATCCCTGGAACATCACACATAAGAAGTTATCACATTTTTTATCACCAAACCTACATAACATGCTTTTCAATTATGTTTTATGTATAATCATGGCATAAGCACACACTTGGTTATCTTTAATCATTCCACAAAACATATTCCTGGTTACTTTAGGTAATCTCATGCCTCACGCAAAAGTTATAAAGCATAAAGCCGTCTTCTCACCTTAATGAAGCTTATGAAGTTCTAGCCTTCCCGATTTAGCTCCGACGAAACTCCGGCGAACTTCAACGAACTCCGGCGACAACTCCGGCGACCTTTTCAACTCCGTGAAAGTTCCTTGAATACCTTAGACAAGTTACTAACAAGGTTTTATCATCATAAAACCCATAGTAATACAAATAACCTCAAAAAGGTTATTTTCCGGTGAACCGGTCACTTTGGCTTCTAAGTCCGTTCTTGGACTTAGAACTACCTTCCAACCCCTCTTTCTACACATCCCAACGTGTAGAACATTACTATGGTGTGAAATATGATTGAATAATCATAAAAGAGTATTGAAGAACAAGAAATAGGATTAATGGAGTCCTTACCTTGCTAAACACAAGTTTTCCTCTCCAAAACCAACTTTTCCTCTTCTCTTTTCCCCTCCTTCTTCCTCCTTTGTTCTTGGTGCGTGTATGGATGATAACAATGAAGTTTGCAGACCTTCTTTCTCCTCTTTGAGTAGGCTGGCCGAGATGTATCAGTTGTGGGGTGAGGGAGATAGCCCTTTTGGCTTATTCCCCAAATAATATGGGGGGAGGGTCCCCTCAACTTACATATTTGTCCCCCAATCACTTCCCAACCAATTCAAGCTCCATGATGCGGCTCCCTCCTTCATTTGAAATCCTAAAAAACGTGGGTTGGCCCCCACTCATGTGGGAGGTCAACCCTTTGTGTCCCGGGTTGTACAATCGGCCCCGAAAGTTGTATTTTCCGGACTGTTTTAAGTATATTTTATTTTATCGGGTCAAATAAAATATAACACTTGTTCCCCATACTTATTGGACCTTAGAATCAATATGCATTCCCAAACTTTAATTTATAGGTTCTCGGAATCCCTTTTTGGGCTGTTATCTGATAAATTGCCGATACCGATAATTTAGCCCGTTTGACCAACCGGTCAACCTTGTGCCATTGTCATGGCCCAATTTGGATATCCACCACCATATAGATATTATCTAGTCCAAGATTAATATAATATGTGGTCCCGATAATATTGGGCGGCCCCACATCCGGTGTGGGCCCCACGTGGATTTTACTATTCACGTAATAGAAATGATAAAAAATTTACAATCACGTAAAAATGCTTTTATACATTTCTCAAGGTTCAATACATAATTTGGTACAGTACAAATACTCGGGGGCGGTGTTACAAGTTCTACCCCCCTTATTTGGGATTTCGTCCCCGAAATCCACGTGTCTAATCAAACAGAAAGAGATATTGTTCCCTCATTAGGGTCTCCACTTCCCACGTTTGCTCCTCGACACGATCACTCTTCCAAAGTACTTTTACCATCGGCACCTCTTTGCTCCTTAGCTTCTTTACCTGTCGGTCTATGATCTTTACCGGCTGTACCGTATAATGTAGGTCTTCTCGGATTTCTACCGGTGGTTTCTCAAGAATATGTGACGGATCCCGCACATACTTCTTGAGCATAGAAACATGAAATACATTATGAATTTTTTCCAACTCTGGAGTCAACTGAAGTCGGTAAGCTACAACCCCAATCCTTTCAAGGATTTTGAACGGGCCTATGTAACGTGGGTTAAGCTTACCCCGACTGAGGAACCTGATGATCCCTTTCCAAGGTGATACCCTCAGAAATACCTCGTCACCAACCTCAAATTCCAACGTCCTCCGACGTTTATCAGCATAGCTCTTCTGCCGGTCTTGGGCAGCCTTGAGCCTATCCTGTATGACTTTTATCTTCTCCTTAGTGATCTCAACTAACTCGGTTCTCTCGAGCTTAGCCTCGCCGACCTCGTCCCAACACAAAGGTGTCCGGCATTTCCTCCCATACAATGCTTCGTATGGAGGCATGCCTATACTCGCCTGATAACTGTTGTTATAAGCGAATTCCACTAAAGCCAACTGATTGTCCCAGCTCCCCTGGAACTCCAAGGCACATGCCCTTAACATGTCCTCCAAGATCTGAATCACCCGTTCAGATTGCCCATCCGTTTGAGGATGAAACGCGGTGCTAAACCTCAATTTCGTACCCATGGATTCCTGGAACTTAGGCCAAAACCGTGATGTGAACCGTGGGTCTCTATCCGATACTATAGTAACTGGAACCCCATGCAGTCTCACAATCTCATCTGTGTACAATTTGGCCAACCGCTCGAGCGTATAAGTAGTGTTGATGGGTAGGAAATGAGCGCTCT